GGATGTAGTTACATGGGTGGGCATTGGGGGGCATTTCTTCTTCAGATAAGAATTCTGCCCACCCCCAAAATGAAACAAAAATTTCCTTCAGTCCCTAGATTTCTAACATTGCAGTAACTCAAAACTTAAGTTGGAGAAACACACAGTTTAGGTGTCCAAAGAAAAAGAGCAAGCAAAGTTCCCAGAGGAGCCAATATAATAGTTCTAGGTGTGAATGATTTTCACTGTCTCACGCTCTGCAATGCAAGAAATTTAGGGACTGCTGGACAGTTTCATGGGGAGGTAGGCAAGCAGTGTGACCCTGCTATTCCAAAGAATTTTAATGGGAATGGAAGGCCGTCTTCACTACTAAATAAGCACTCTCTTCCTTCTCTCCTAACCATGTAATGGCTATAGCACAGCCTTCCCAGGGCTTGGCTTCTGTTGGGGAAGGAGGTGTTGGATGTGGGTAATAGCCCCTTGCACTCCATCCAAAACAAGACATATATGCAATAACCCCAAGTTACACACACATGTGTCACTAACAGGACATCCATACCCTCCAACTGTCGCAGTTTGCAAGACACATTCCCTATTAATCCTCTGTCATCCCACTTTTCAGCTGCTTTTAAAATGTCTCGGTTTCCAAGACCAGACAAGATCTGGTGACTTTGGGGTATTTATATTGAGGCAAGAACAAACTGCTGCAGTCTCCATTAGCTTGTGTATTCTCCTTCATTGATAATATTTAGCATCTTGATCACAGTTTGATGTTGCTTGGCCACTCATGTCCCAGTTTTCCATCTGTGAAATGTTGGAGGGTATGCTATCCTATTGTTAGTCCCCTAACTAGAGAAGATCCATCGAATCAATGGGATTTACATAAATGTTGACTCTTTAAAAGTTGATTCAAGGAGTCTACCAAAAGGATTCTGCCCGCAATAAATGTACAAAGGAATGGGCATTAAGATCAGGCAGCTTGGAACCGGACCGATTGAAAATGTGTTGCACATACAATATTTTGGGCTATTTCACAAGTTGTAAATTCAGTCCAGACAAGAAGACTGCTTCTACTTTAAAATACTCTAGAGCTGGAAAGAAGTATTACTCCAGTGACTTCTACATCGAAACGATTAAGCTAGCCAAAATATTTGCATTTCAGGGATATTAATGAGCAGAACCACACACAAGAATCTTTTCAAAATTTAAAATATGCCGGCGTCAATGGTCTGGATAGGATGAGCTGTTCTGCAAGATATATAGAACTGGAGGAGACAGGAAAGCAAGATGAGTTGTTTAAACAAAGGCTGCCAGCCAATTAAAGAATTCTTAGATTATTATCCAACCGACTTTTAATTAATCAATGAATCAACTTCATGTAAATAGATTGCATACCACCAAAGTGCCACCACAAATGCTTCTGATGAAGATTTTCTATGAAGAAGATGTGATAGTGTGAATCCTAATTCAGTTTTAACATCTAGCAAGAGAGGGCAAGGACTTCACACACAAACACACACAACATTCTCTGTTGCAGAAACAGAGCCAGTGTGGTGTAGTGTTCTGAGTGTTGGATTAGGACTCTGGGAGACCAGGGTTTGAATCCCCATTTGCCATTAAAATCCACTGGGAGACCATGGGCAAGCCACACTGGGTCATGATTCAAGGAAGGCAGTCGCGAATCTCCTCCAAATAAACCTTCATTAATACATTTTTAAGGGGGGTTATTTTGTCATTGATTGTATGGATGTATTCTTTTTAACTTGTAAGCTGCCTTGACAGCCTCGGCTTAAGGCGGGGTATAAATACAATTTTATTATTTTATTATTTATTTATTATTATTCCCCGGAATTATAATACCGCCTCCAAATGTTAGAGTTGGTTCGAAGGCACATAAGAACATAACAAGGATAAAATATAAATTGTTGCATCAAATATCAAATCAGATAGTCTCTTTGGTGTGGTGGTTTTGCAGCTTTGGACTAGAGAGACCTTCAGAGATCCAAATGCTATTAATCTAACCAGGTAACATGGGGCCAATACCTTTCTTTTCACCTGAACTGGATTGTTGTGAAGATAACAGCTAGGAAGGGAAGAATCACACAAAAAGCTAATCTTTGAAACATCGGAAAACAAGATTCCTTCATCTTCTACATCATCCTATTGTTGACGTTATTGTCAAGCGGATATCTAACAGAGCTGGAGATTTGAACACAACCCTTGCCTGGAGCTGAGCTCAGCAAAAACTGGAGAATTTGTCCCTTTGTCTCCCACCTGGACATGACTCACAAAAACTGGAGACCCTGAGATCTGGCAACCTTCTCACCCACTGCCTTCATGGCTGTCTTTTCAGCGCCAAGCAAAAACTGATGTTTCTAATGCTGAGTCTGCTGTTCACTCAGTTTTGGAATTAAGCCTATATCATTTTAAGTTGTGTCTTGGGTACATTTTTGGATTGTGTAAGAGAAATTGTAAGTCACCATGAAGGCCAAGCGTGGTGCAAATTTTGGATAGCTTGCGATTCCCCCCCCCCCCCCAAGTCCCATTGGTTCTGTCTTTTAAGTGGCCTAGAAGACCCATTTGTTTCCAATTATTTTCTGCTGAGATATTGTTAGTTGAAATGACGGGCTGGTTTTCTGGGCTTAATGGCAACAACAATGGCTGATCTGAAATGGTTATCTAATGGTTTCACCAGTTTTTATGTGACTGTTGGACTGATTAGCAAGGTACTTTATCTGCTGTTTTAAATTACTATTTTACTGAAGTATGTTGTGCTATTGTGTTTTATTTTATGCATGCCATCTTGAGCAGTTTAGGAATATTTTGAACAAATAGATAAACAGAAAACAGCTGCTGCTTACCCTCCCTAAAGTCCTATCACAGTGTGGCAAAGTTACTTTTTTACTTTAAGTCCCTGAATCCCAAGTAGTTGTTGTCCAAAAAAAAATAATAATAACATGATCAAGCTCTGGCTCACATAACATACCTTTGAACACTTCACAGATGAAAATTGGGACATGTGTGGCCAACCAACATCAGTGTGTGGTCAAGATGGCAGACGTTACTAATGAGTAAGTATAGATGAGCTAGAAATGGCTTCACCAGTTTGCTGTTGCCTGAACCTACTGGGAAGGTCAAGCTTTCAATTCTTCCTCTCCTCTCCCCATTGTGGAATTAATTGAATGAAAACTACTTTTGCACTTTGAATAAAGTTTGCAGTAAACAAGGTAAGTGGAGCAGAAAGAGAGAAAGCAAGAGGAGGAGAGAGAAACTGGGATATGTTCAAAGCGGCTGACAAATTGGGATCACAGTGGACTATCCCAGCCAAACTGGGACAGTGGGAGCTCATGCTTTTAGTTGTAAGCTCCAATCAGAGTGTGGTAATGTTAATCTTTAATTTTAAGTCCTAGAATCCCAGATTTTGAGAGTTGTAGTCCAAAATAATAACTTGTTCAAACTCTGGATCCTATTAGCTTTATGTGAAAGAGTGCCGATGCAGCTTCTGTCTCCCCCTGCATCCAGAAAACCACACTCATACCACTTCAAAAGAACTCCATTGGCAAACCAATCCTAGACCTCTTGCATAATGTTTCAGATTCAGGGGCATCACTAGTGGGGTGCAGGGATGTGGACGGCACTGAGTGACACCTCAGAGGTGGGGTGAACCCTCAGTGGGGTGATCACTCACCATCCATCCCCAGACCCCCCCCCCCCCCACAAGCCAGGGTCCCTCTGATGGCTATCAGCCACAGCTGCTAGTCTAGGTGGGATTCAGCTGTTGTCCAGCAGCCCCTTCCAGTCTGGCAGGGCTGCTGGCTGGGCTGGGAAAGAGAAGTGGCAGCACTGGCAGCCACAGATTCTCCCCTTCTGCAAATGGTGCCCCTGCTGCCATCGCCTCTCTTTCCTACCCGACCGGAAGCCCTGCTAGTCCCAGAAGGAGTTGCCAGTTGCCGGACACCCCTACCATGCCAGAGGCAGGCTGGCTGACTGAGGGGGGCATCTGGAATATGTGCCATTGCACTGGGTTGACACCAACCCTAGTGACACCACTGCTTGGACTGGCCCTTTTCAAAACTTGGGCTTGAGTTTCATTTTAAATTCCTCTCCCACTCCCACTGCCTATTAGCCTTTACCAAACTGAAAAGACCTCTGATTTTTATGGTGCCTGCAACATTTCCCAGGCTCTGTCTTGAGATGAAGTGATACAAAGGGAGGCTTTCCAAAGCAAAAAGAAAGATCTGCCCTTGCAATGCATGATCTCACCTGGCCTGAAAAGCAAGACAAGACACAGAGGAGTGGGAAACAAAACAGCCTTTTCCCTGTTATTGGAAATCATGTCATACCAGCTGGCTTCTTCCCTCTAGTGCCAAGAAGAGTGGAGCATAGCACAACAGAAGCTGCAGGAGCAGGAACATCATTGGTCAGGTAATAACCAGATAGTAAAAATAGTAAAAACAGAATTAGTAAAAGAATTCTGATACCTAGGATCAAACATTCACCAGAATAGGGACTGCAATCAGGAAATCAAAAGACTTAGAATGGGGAGGATAGTAAGGAGGCCATGGATAGGAATGTGCAGGAACTGAACAGAGCAGTGGAGGACAGGGAGATGTCTCATCCACAGAGTCATGAATCAAGATCGACTTGAGGGTGGTTAACAACAACAACAACAACAAGAACAACAACAACAAAGGGGAGCAACAGGTACAATGGCATGCCTGTGGCTGGTGTCACTTGCTGCTGAGGGATAGCAGGGGGTCAGACTGCCCCATCACCCTCCCTCCCTCCCAATGCCTTCTTGCCTTCCCCCATGGCTCCCTCGGAGTGTGGTGGAATCTCCTTCCTTGGAGGTCTTTAAGCAG